CAGGAGAAAGATGAGGCTTTCTGCTTCCATAAAGATTTACAGCCTCGGAAACCCTGTTCAGGATCGCTATGGGTCAGAACCAACTCGACGGCACTTAACAACATCAACAATGATATAGTATTGTAATTTACATATATAATCTGAAATCTTCCCATGGCCCAAACTTTGTTATTATAGTAGCTTTTACTAGCTTAATACCAGAATCCAACATGAAATTATTCAATTCTAAAATTTAGTCGTTTTCCTGCATCCCTTTCCTCATCCTTCTTTGCCCTCTCTCTACCCGATTGGACTTGAAATTACAGATAGAATCCATCTATATGCAACTCAAGGTAGTCACTCACTCAGCAAACATCTGTGAGCACCTGTCATATACCAGGCACAGAAGTAAGCAAATTAAGGCAATGAAAGAAAATAGAACTTTGATTTTGAAAGAATTGAAAAATAACCTAAACATTAATTCTTGATTTCAAATTTTAAAACCCAAGCTTAAAGCTTGGAATATTTAAAAATGTGCAGAGTAGAATATTAGCAAAAGTGATCATGTAAAAGAAGCACATGTGACAAACATTGAGAAGTGACATGAAGGGGGTGTTGACTCAGGAAAGAGTTGGGGAAATCAAGAGATGCCAGCATACCTCGTTTAATTGTGCTTCACTTTATGGCATTTCACTGATACTGTGGGGTTTTTTATAAATTGAAACTTCGTGGCAACTCTGCATTGAGCAAGTCTATTGGCGCCATTTTTCTACCAACATTTGCGCACTTCATGCTTCTGTCACATTTTGGTAATTCCCACAATGCTTCAAATTTTTCAAAATATTAAACACTGAAATGAACCCTTTGGGCACTGTAGGAGAGAAACACTTGGCTGCTAACACTAAGGCTGGCAGTTCAAACCCACCAGTCACTTTCCCAGGAGAAGGTTGAGGCTTTTTGTTCCTGTAAAAAGATATAGCCTCAGAAACCTTATACAGGGTTGCTATGAGTTAGAATTCACTGGACAGCAGTGAATGTGAGTACCGCACTTTAGTATTAGCCTACAGTACAGTGTAAACATAACTCCTTTATGCACGGGAAACCAAAACATTTGAGAGACAAATTCAGCTTGATTGTGGTGGTCTAGAACTGACCCCACAATATCTCCATCGACTTTCTAGAGTCGATGGAACAATAAGTAAAGATATAAATGTATTAAACATGTGGCATTAATTATAGAAAACCTTATTGATGCTTACTCTATTGCCTCCTTCACCCAACCCTGTGTTTTCCTTGTCAGCAAAGCCCAGGTTTTATTCCTGAGTCCACATCTATCTTTGAGAATCCCATCCTCCAGGAAGATCAGGAATAAATCTTGATTAATCTAACTGTGGTAACGCCATACCTTTGTCCAGTCATTGTCGTTCTTGTTGCTATGTGCTGTTGGATCAGTTCTGACTCATAACAACCCTGCACAGGGCTTCTGAGAGCAATTGGTGAGTCTGAACTGCCCACCTTGTGGTTAGCAGTCCAGTGCTTATATAGCACCAGACCAGCGCTCTGTCATATACTGATCCTAGATCTAGAGACATATGAGAAGATATTTGTGCTAGGCTTCTGGGAGATATATAAAGGAAGAAAGAATTTACATTCATTTAGACATTCTGTGAATTAACTTGAATAAGAAGACCTATCCTGTGACATCTTATTGTAACAAAATACATTTTCCTTACTTGAAAAAGTATTTTTAGTTGATTTTCTATTGCTAGAAATTGAAAGCATCCTAACATGATAACTTATTAAGCATTTAAAAGTGGTATTTATCTATACTGTTGTTGCTGTTAAGTCAGTTCCAACTCACAGCAACCCTGTATAGGGTGTCCGAGGAGTTATTGGAGGTTTTGAGCCACTAACCTTGTGGTCAGCAGTCCATGTCTTATCCTATAGCACCACACCAGGACTCCAAATAAGTATAACATCTGAACAAGGACTTGAACCCTCAACTTTCAGATTAAAAATCTGATGCTCTACCAACTGAGCTACCCAGACCCCTAACTAACTATACTAAAAGGGAGAAAAAAAGAAGGAATTAAAAAATACACGTGAATTTAATT